TTGATCTGATCTCCCTGCCAACTCCACCTCCATCTGTTGCTTTCCTCTCCTCTCCGGGGTCTTCTCCTGCTTTTCTGCCTAGCCCTCCTTCAGCGTCTCCTTGACAACCTTGGAACTTTTTTAACCCAATGTTTTTCAAATCAGGTGTTTCATGAAAGTGGACAATGGTTCTTGAACCATTTTGGTTTTGATGAATTGGCATTTTCTGACACCCCCCTACCCCCGAAAAAAAAAAAAATTCCTAACCATGACTGAGTTTCTTATATTTTTGTGAATTTTGCATCATTTGTAATTTCTCATCATTTCTCATTTTTAATAAATTGTTATCAGCATTTTGTATCATTTATAATCTTTCCTTTTTCAGAATAAGTATATTTTAATGGTTTTTGGCAGCTTCGTCACATGACGGATTATTGAATTATTTCATATTTTTAAAAATTATTTTACAAAGGAAAGCAATAAACAACAAAGGTCCAAGGGAAAATTTGTTTAAAATTGTGGTAACATTTTAAAAAGAAATGATTTTTAAATGAAGAATACTGATGTTGAGAAAAGGTCATTTTGGACCCCCCCAAAATCCCCCAAACAAACCAACTTATGTTTCAAAAATATTGACCCAATAAAACTTTTTTAAAAATTACAAAAATTGACAAGACTGATCTAAGACAAAGCAAGAAAAAATAACAGTTAAAACTGCCACACCCTTTACACCACAAAACAGCAAATTAGCAAACAGATTTATTTTACAAAAAGAAGAACAGGAGGACTTGTGGCACCTTAGAGACTAACAAATTTATTAGAGCATAAGCTTTCGTGGACTACAGCCCACTTCTTTTACTGCATTGTATACACTGCAGTAGCTTGCATAGCCACCAGATGTCACTGCTCTCACAAACACAACAGAATGCGCCTTTCTCTCATAAATGGGAAAATGTAATGCCATAAAGTAGCATTAGATGGGAAAATAAATTCAAGTTGCAACAGTTCCGTGTTGTCCACAGCTCAAAGCATGCTCACCTTTTGGGAATTAGCTCCATGGGTGGTGGGAGTGCCTGATGAGGCCCCGCCCCCCCCCCGCCTGCTCCTGGAGGCTGGGGCAGGCAGGCTGGGGGCTGTGGTGCACCCCTGGGGCTGTTCCGGCCGCCCAGCACTGGGGCTGGACTCAGGCTGGGCTGGAGGCTCGGCTGGGGGGAGCTTCAGCGGGGGGCTGGGGCCACGCCGCACGCCCAGCTCTCAGGCACTCCGGGACCAGGGATGGCTGGGGCTACGCCACACGCCCGGCTCTCCAGGGCCAGGGGGCTCAGGCCATGCTGCCTGGCATCCCTGGGCTCCAGGGCCGGGAAGCAGGGGCCAGTGGCCATAAGAGGGGGGGAGGGGATAGGGGCGCAAGAGCCAGCGTGACAATGGGGGGGACTGGGGCCATTGGGCATGGAAGTGGCAGAAGGCGCAGAGGACTGGGGGGTTAGCCGTAGCCTGCCTCCCCAAGCCAGGGGTTCAGCCATGACCCGTGGACAGCTCATATGTGGGTGCTATCTGCAGGAGGATGGGACTGTGGTTGTGTCTTTGGGTGTCTGCATAACCCCGCACCCCCTTGCTTCCAGCCAACCCTGCACCCTCCTGTCTCGCCAGCCCCGCACCCCCTGCCCTGCCTGCAGCCAGCCCCGCACCCCCTGCCCGCAGCCAGCCCCTGCCGCACCCCCTGTCCTGTCTCCAGCCAACCCCTGCCGCACCCCCTTGCCCGAAGCCCAGCCAGCCCCGCACCCCCTGCCCTGCCTGCACCCAGCCCCTACCTCCAGTCAACCCTGCACCCCCTTGCCTCCAGCCAACCCCGCACCCTCCTGTCTCCAGCCAGTTCCACACCCCCTGCCCTGCCTGCAGCCAGCCCCGCACCCCCGTCTCCAGCTAGCCCTTCCCCACGTCCCTGTCTGCAGCCGGCCTCACGTCTACTGGTGCCCTGCAGTTCCCAGGGCAGTAACCCTGCACACCTGCTTCAATGAGGGGGGCAGGGAGCAGCTGGGACCCACACATGTGCACACCCTAGGGTGACCAGACAGCAAGTGTGAAAAATCGGGACAGGGTGGGGGGATAATAGGAGCCTATATAAGAAAAAGGCCCAAAAATCGGGACTGTCTCTATAAAATCGGGACATCTGGTCCCCATAGCACTCCCCCAGAGAGTGGCAGGGACCCACACATGTGAAATGAAGCTCATTTCTAGTTTAGGCCCAGCTTTTTAAAAAAGAACTTTTAGGTAAGGTTAACATACATCTGTATTATCCCGGATATGTCAGGCTTTTTGGTTCTTAAATCACCGTCCGAGAGGAATTTTTAAAATTTAAAAATATGGGAAAATACGGACGTATGGTAACCCTATTAAAGGTACAAAAAATACATACTGTGGCACATCCCTTAAATCAGAACTTTTTATAGGGAACCGGTTGTTAAGATTTTTGGCAGCTCATCACTGCCCCCAGGTGCAAATGTTTCTATGCTCCCCCATCATCTCCGTCCCTGAGGTTATCGCAGATTAAAAGGCGAAAAAAACGCATTCGCGATGACATGATTTCTGAGCTCATGCAGTCCTCCCGCACTGATAGGGCACAGCTTAATGCATGGAGGCATTCAGTGGCAGAGGCCAGGAAAGCATTACGTGAGTGTGAAGAGCAGAGGCAGGAGGCGATGCTGAGGCTAATGGGGGAGCAAACAGACATGATGAAGCGTCTGTTGGAGCTGCAGGAAAGCCAACAACAGCACAGACCCCCGCTGCATCCATTGTATAACTGCCTGCCCTCCTCCCCAAGTTCCATATCCTCCTCACCCAGACGCCCAAGAACGCGGGGGAAGGCTCCGGGCACCCAGCCACTGCACTCCAGAGGATGGCCCAAGCAACAGAAGGCTGTCATTCAAACAGTTTTG